GCTGCAGAACTCTACCAAGGAACAGGGGTTATGGAAATTTAGTCTATGGAGTTATAAAATTTCATGACTGTATATTAAATATCTGAAATAACCTCTATCACAAATGTGTGTGACTCTAATCTCCTGGGGAGGGAAATGCCAAGCTGAGTAGGGGCCAAAACAGCCTATGGAACCCTCAAATGATGATACTTCTGCCACTTCACTGCTGTCTCCACATACTCACCTAGGGATTCCCAGGTTCCTCTCTGTCTGTCCTTTCAGTGTTAGGTGTCCTCGGGGTTCTTCCCTAGCCTCTCTTTCTCACTGTAGTGTCCATTCCCCCCCACACACACACACACACATCCATTCCTCACCCATAATCTCATCAACCATTTCTATGCAAAATCCTCATTTCAGATCTTTCTCTTGCTCCAGGCCCTTGTCTCACTAACCACTGGACACCTCCTCTAGAACGTCCCCTAGATACCTCAGAATCAATTAGTTTAAAACCGAGCTCATAATCCTTTATCTCCCGCAGCATCCCCCTCCTTTCCCACCCAAATGTGCTTCTCCCTCTGTGCAATCTTTCTCCACATTACAGACAGAGGGATCTCTCTAATATGCACATCTGATAGCGTCACTCTCCTATTTAAAATCCTTTAAAGGCTAGTCTGGGCACCTGAAGATTAAGCCAAGTTCTTCAACATGAGTTACAAGGCGCTTTGTGATCAGACACCTTACTCCCCTAACTTTGCAGCCTCCCCGTTCACCATTTACCTCTCCCACCTCCACCACACACACTCGAGCTTCTGACCATATTAAACTTCCTGCAGTTCTGGATTGTGTTCTGTTCATTTGGCCTACAGGCCTTTGCTCAGGCTGCTCCATCTGCCTGAGCCCCCACCTCTAACTGACCTAGTCCCTTTCCCTTGGCTAGTGTCTGCTTATACTTTAGAGATCTCAACTTAGGTGCCCCTGTTTCTGAAAGACCCCTTTGCCTGACTCCCCCTGTTTTTGCTAAATGCCTCTCCCGGGTGCTCCAATCACACCCTGTATTTGCCCACGTGTCTGCAAGTCTAATTGTTGGTCTTTTTCAATAGACTATAAGTTCCTGAAGGGCAGGGCCATGTTTAGTTTGTTCAATGTTGTATGCCCAGTGCCCAGCACATGAATGCATGGAGCCTGCAAGGATATAAAAAGTACCTCACAAAAGTTGGAGACCATAAGGTAAAAGCACAGATATGTGTCTGTGTGTTTATCATAGATCAAGTATTTCCTTGGTGTTTTTGCTGCCACTTGCTTCTATTATGGGTCACCAACAGAGCTGAGCAGAGGTATGGTAAGTTTCTATAGAAGAGGGGAGAGGTACTGGTGTCCAGAGCCATGTCTGACCATGGGCCTCACTGCTGTCCTGACTCTCAGGTGGTGAATATACCCACTCACAGTGGGGCTGAGAAGGCAGTTACCTGTGTAGCATAAGGCAAGGAATTGTCCTTCATCTTCAATAGGGAAGCAAAAATACTTTGAGCATTATCATTTATTTAGTGTAAATAATGTCATATGATTTTTCTCCTCAAGAGCAGGTTTTGAAAAGAGGAAAGAAATGGCAGGAAATGCCGGGAGGTGGCAGGACCCTTGGGCTAGTCAAGCCTGCTTAGATGGTGTTGGTGCCTAAAGTGAGGACTGAGATATTTTAGCATTTGCCTACAGGGTGCATAAGGAGCACAGATTCTGTGATGCTCAAACATCCTCCTATATTTGTGGAGAGAGAGGTCTGACATCTCTCAAGGGATTAAGTTTTGTTGTTTGGGACAGAATAAAGTGCCATGCATACTGAACTTCATCCTGGTCAACTTTTGGATCTATGGCAGAATACATGCAAAGGGAGGGAGGGCTGGTGCTCTACTGGTCTCGGAGCAGAGGTGAATTCACTGTGAAAGGATGGCTTTTGAACCTCAGGGCCCCTCACATGCATGAGCCCTAGAAAAGTATTTATGAGGTTTTGAAAAATTTGCATAAGTGAGACATTTCAATTACAGTAAGGTCATTAAGACCACTGTCTCTTTCCACCCCCACTTCCCTTGATGTCAGGTGCCTCTGGCATGGCTGTGGGCATCTTTGGATCCAGCTAAAGAGAAGTTGAGTTGGGGGTGGATGCCTTTGGGTTAGAGGGATATACTTACGTTCTTCGCAGTTACTTCTGTATGGAGTTAATTGCTGCTGTCCTGAGGTAGCAATGGCTTCTGGGAATATTCCTACACACTACAGTGCCCACGCATCAGGACAGGACATCAACAGCAAATCAAAACCACATAAGCTTTTGTCCATACAAAATCTGCAGGCCACCTAGAGTCTGTGCAAACCTGTGAACACCCCAGCCTGGGATCCCAAATGAGAGAGCTGGCTGGGGATCCTATGGCCCTTACTCCCTTAGGCTACATCATGGTACCTGTCAACGCCAATGACAGAGACCCGCTCTGGGAAAACTTTTGGCCTGATCCTGCACTATGATTTGAATTACATTTTAGTTTGGAGTGTTTTTGCTTTTGCTTACAAGAAAAAAAAAATGCATCAGCATTTTTTTTTCCCCACTTGCTCTGTGTCCTTGATGCTTTTGTAGCTGTGTCTGTAGAGTAAAAAAATAGGCCTGAGTGAGATGACTTGGCCCGTGGTCTGTGTGAATTCCTAATTTAAACCTTCCTACCACCACTTATTTGGTTGATTACAAAGAATTATTCCTAGCCTAATAGTATATTTGTTGTTGTGGTTGTTTTTAAAATATATTTTTGCTAGAAACAAAAGTATTGTGTTGTAATAATGTAAAAGCATTAATAAATGGTTAATGTAAAAAACAAAATTTTTTATAGTCCAACACTAAGTTATAAATTTTTCCTATTTTGCATCTTGTAGAATATATAACGTGTTTAACTTGCTATAAAATGCTTTTTTTTTTTGACACAACCAGGATCATACCATATTGCTTTGCAACTAGTTTTTCTTCACTTAATAGTGTATATTGGATATTTTTCTATGTTCTTTTCAAAGGCTGGATAACATTGTTGTTTGCTGATATCATTAATTTAATCAATTTCTTATATTTGGGTTGTTTTTAGGTTTTTTGGGGTTTTTTTTTGCTATAACCAGTGGTGCTATAATGAGCATCCTTATTCATATATCTTTGCACATTTTGCAAGGTGTTTTCCCTTGTAATATAAATTTCCAGCAGAAATTTAGAATTTAAGGATCAAAGGACATATACATTTAAAAATGTTAATAGATGTTTCCAAATTGCCCTCTAAATCACTGTACCAATTTCTAGACTCACCAGTAATGTATGGGAGTGCACATTTCTCTACTCAACATTACTCTTGTCAACTCAGCATTATCAGTCGCTTTAATATTTGTCAGTCTGAAAATGGTAGCTAAAGATTCCTTGAATTTTAATTTTTTTATTAGGTTGAATGTCTTTTCATATCTTTATTTATTATTGTACTCCCCTGTAACTAGCTGTTCCTATTCTTTACCCATTAAAAAACCACATTGATTTATTATTTTCTTATTTACTAGCAAGAGTTATTTGAGATTACTTGAGACATTAGCCCTTTGTCTTAGTGTGATACTTGATTGCAAAGAACACTGCTACTGCGTTTTAAACTCTTAAATTCTGCTAATGAAAATCCCTTGCAATATAGTCAATGATGCTATATGAAAATTAATAAAAATAAATGGGGATGTTTCAGACAGCTAAAATATTAGAGAGGGAGGGATTGGTCAAAAACTTATTTGGAGGGTAAGTTTGTTCTTTATTAGGGGAAAAGTTGCCACTCTTCTTCCCTGAACCAAGGAAGGAGCCCAAGTGCAAAGTAAGGGTTCCCTTGCCAAGTTTACAAAAAGCTCTGTGATTACAAATTGGTCCTTGTTCTAACACATAGTGCGTGACACGAAGAGTTTGTTTTACTTTTCTTGATTTTACTACCTACTACCAGGCTCTACATTTAACATTTATACCTAGAAAAGTTAGAAATATTTTAATTTTATAGAAAACTTACTAGTATTCTTGAAGTGCTTTTGAATTTAGCACCAAGATCAAATTATGTTGGATCTCTGTCTTGGAAACTGTTGTATTCTCTTACTTTGTATGAGTTAGCTCTTAGTAGCTGTTAATTCTGATACATATTGAATACAATGAATCAATGTTTTAAATATGCCTGTTAGACTTGCTAAAAATATTGGGATTGTTAGAAAACAAAAACCTCTAGGTCAGAGGTTGCGAATTGACAGCCCACTGACTCTTTATCTGCTGGTCACGCTCTCCCTCACAGGTTAAGAACTATTTTGAACTGTAGCCATCCCTCTGTATCCTGGGGTGGGGGTGGGGGGGATGGTCCAGGACCACCACCCCCATCCCTGTCCCCGAGGATACCAAAATCCAAGGATGCTTAAGTCCCTCCTATAAAATGACGTAGTATTTGCATATAACCGATACTTGCATGGAGGCTACAGTAGGTTGTGCCTACACACCCCTTTAGTCTCATGGATTCAGCATAGTTTTTGGTGTATGGCAAATTCAAGTCTTGCTCTTTGGAACATTCTGGGATTTTTGGAGGGGGTATATTTGTTATCCACAGTTGAATCCGCTGATGCAAAACCTATGGATACGGAAGGCCAACTGTAGTTAGTGCTAATGCTTATAAATGGAGAGGTTTCATGTAAAACCCATATTTCTGGTTTCTTTTGAAAAATGAAACTTTTGGCAATAATAGATTACATATATGTGTTAATAATGAACTGGAACTGCACAGTGGCTATTCTTTGTATACAGGGCAAGTGGTGTCCAATGTGCCACAGTTCCTGCTATTCTTTAATATATTACACATAGCCTGCTTCGCTCATTCACTTATATTATGTAGATTGCTTCTTTTGTATGTGTAGGTAAATAAAAACATTATATGTATGTAAAAAAAAATTCCTTCATTTTTTCATTAATAAATTAATGCAAATCTCATAAAGCTTCTTTGCTTTATTGGGTTTTCTGGTATATTCATCTCCTTTAAAAGGTAGTAAGAGTTGCAGAGACAGTAGAAGCAATAAACATCCCAGAGGTTTCTTCTTCCCAACTTTTACCAACAAACCACTCCATTGTTCGGTGATAAAGAAGATGACAAGAAGGTTTCATATTTCCTGGAGTTCCACTATCTTACGCTGTAACTTCTTTAGGTCTTTCTGAACTTTATATTTCTCTAAATCCATCTTTGTTTTCTGTATTTGTTGGAGGGAGCTGAGAGAGTCATGAATCGATTTAAATCCTGGAAGTGGATATGAGAATAGGCATACTTAAACAATGCATTGGAACTTTTTTTATTTTTACAAAAGTTTTCAATCAGCAGTCCTGTCATAACTGATCATCTTTTAATTCAAAGCACATTGTTTTATTAAGACCAGTTTAAATATGTATAACAATCCATTTCTTGTATATTATAAAGATGCATTAGCAATAGTGTTTCAACTTGTATCTGGTTTCATTGTGAATATTTAACTCAATTCCTTTCCTTCCTCTCTCCCCGAATATATTGCATAATGAAATTATTCTGTATTTCAAGAGAGAAATTGAAAATACCTTCTTTCTGTATACTTTGACAAGAGATTTGAATGATCTCTTTTTTAATTCTTGTTACCAAATTGAAGGTAAAGACCACAGACGAGATTTTAAATGTTCTCTAAAATTAACCTGTTTGAGGGACCTAGAGTGGCCACCGGCTGCTCCCCCTCAGCTGCCCTCCAGCACTTTGCATCCCTTACACAAGTCTAGTCACTCATAACCACAGACCTACCAAATCTCAAGCTTTTTACAGTGCAGCCCATTTCTTATTCACCAGAGCCTTTCACAGAATCACTTCTAAACACATTTTTATTAACGGCATAATGGAGTAAAGTATTAATTTGGAGTCACTGTTTGCTAAACTCCCACTTAGTAAAATGCAGAGACATGTAGACTGCGAATTTCTCTTCAGCACATCCTGTGATCACACTACTGGAATGAACAAAATTAAATTTCTGGTAGTTAAGTAGAAAGCAGGGCCCTACAAGAAGGGCCAGTGAAGTTTGGGGTGTGATTCCTGGCCAGATAGTTCATTGTTTTGATTCGGCAGTGGGAGTTGGAGGGTAGAGGTGGTGAGGGTCAGATTTCCCAGGAAGCAAATTTCACTTCTATGCCAGCAAGAACATCTGGCAGAATGAGACCATGAAGTCTTTCCAAGACACCCTCAAAGCATCTCTATACAAGACCAAAATTTGGTAGAATTTACATCATTTTTCTGAGATCTAGAGGACAGAAAATCAGGTGGGGCCTTCTCTAATAAAGGAGCCTTCAGATTCCGGGTAATTCCCTCAGAATTGTGACTTGAGGCAGATGGCTGCTCCCCAGCACCTATTCTGTCCTTCCCTTTGACAAATTAGATGAGCCTTTCAAATTAATCCTCTTTGATGTTAGCTCAGCTTGACACTGTTGCCATTAGCCTCCCTGAGAAGAAAGGCCGTCCTCACACCGGACTCTCTCAATTCATTTCTCTTTCTTACTTCTAAAGGTCAGGACTCCGGTCTGACATCTGTCCAGGCTCATTACCTGCAAGTTCAATGAGGAGAATTTGATTTAGGCTCCTCATTTCGTGATATACCCACAAGCCAGCTCTTGCTCTCCAAGGGCTTTCCAGGTCTGACAGTTCTACGAGCCTTTGATCTTAGAGAGTAGAAAACATCGCATAGCAATGGCCAGCTTGTGAAGCTGCCAAGTGTGCATGAAGAAAGTAAACTTGTTTACCTACCTTCCAGTGGTGTGCTGACATGCTATGGGATGTTTGGAAAAGTCAGATTAAGTACAAAACGATGTCACTAATGACAAGATCAATTCCTGGCCATTAGCGCAAAGTAGAAAACTCTGAGGGGCTGGATAGGCAAGGACTGGTGTTCTTTACTTAATCAAAGGCACCTGCTCACCTGATTGATATTCATTCTGCATTTTCTCTAATTCTTCCCAGATGTGCTTTTCTAGTTGGTTCATCTTTTTGGATAGTTTATTTTCTATATGTTTTACTTTGCTTAGTTCTGCTTCCTGTTTCTGTGCATTGATGAAATTCTCTAATTTGCTCGAAAGCTGCAGTAATTTTTTTTCCATTTTATTTTCAGACTTTTCCTATAAAAGATATCACATGTTAAAACTCTGCGGACAAGAAAATCTGTGTGGATTTGTATTTCGGCTTAGAGAATGTTTTTAACGCATTCACGTGTCCATGTTAAACATGAAAATACAAACCAAGTTCCCTTGCACCTAAAACTGTGTTCATAAGTGGAAGAGTCCATCCCTTTGTTCGGCCTTGTTATTTTCTTTTCTCCCATAACATGCAGAATTCTCTTGTTTCTGGAATTTTGCATGTTACGGGAGAAAAGAAAATAAAGGGCTGTGGTCTTGCTGAAACACCTTGAGGGTTTGGAATTTTAGTCTAGTGTTTAAAAAAGGCAGCCAAGGAAGGCATTTTAGGCTCTGCCTGACCTGTGCTCCTTGGACGTGCTCCTAAGTGTTAGATGTCCTTATTCCCTGAGCTTTATATCTCCATGTGGACAGATTTCAGCTAGAATAGTGATTCTCTACCCATGTTGTCTATTAGAATCACCTGGACCATACACCGCCCCCCAAATTCTGATTTAACTAGCCTATGGCAGAGCTCAGGAATTGGTCTAGTTTAAAATACTCCCAGGTAATTCTAATATGCAGCATCCCGAGGCTGATTAGCTTCTTGGCTTCTCCCCTGTCTTACACCGGGGATGGGAGAGCAGGAACGGGCTAGTCTGGCTGCCTCAGGAATGGTGGACTCCAGCCTCTCTCTCCCTTGGGGCGGGGGGGCTTCTGCCGGTAGGCGACCCCGTGGTCATCCGGTGCCGCCTAGAACTGGTGGAGGAGTCTGCCTCAGTCAGGTAGGAGAAGGAGCAGGCCCGCGGGGCTGCAGGCGGACAGCACAGACTTCAACCTTATCAGTGACAGAGCTGTAACGTTTGTCTCCATGTCTTGGGCTATGGTCCTATCAGTTGTTGACAAACTCAGGTGGGGGGCCAGGAGCATTATTTACTGAAGCCCCTCTACCGAAGTCCCAGAAACATCTTATTTCAGTCACCTGCATGGCTAGCAGGCACTGATGACCCTGCCAGCTCTATGCTTGTCTCCTGTCAGGGCTCAGCAACGTGGCCGCTGTGTTGGGAGAGGGGGGCTCTGCAGTAATTCCCCATGTACTGTAGTTTCACCCCAAAGCTGGGGCTTTTCTCTGTAAGGTTGAATCTGGAGAAGGAGTTCTGAAAACCTTTGATCGGCTAACGGATCTCCAGTGGGGCAACACGGTTGGTCTAAGACGTTTTCAGGCTTTATTGTGTCTAAGCATTACCTAGGGAGCTTGCCTAGATGCCCAGGTTCCCAGGGAGGCCCCGGAGGCTGGGATGCCTCGGCTCTGGGTTGGGACAAGGAACCTGTATTTTTAAAAGCCCTTCCGGTTATTCTGGTACAGGTAGAGCACATCCTGAGACGTGTGGGACCGCAGAGTTGGGGAGTAGCAAGCAGGACCGGAAGCCAGGCCTCTGGAGCTCCATCTGGTGCCACGAAAAGGTAGGTTACTGTGAATATTGAAGTGCGGCCTTCACTTAGAGACCTGTGCTCACGGCCAAACTCCAGTGGCCGTGCAGCAGCCTGCTTAACGAATAAAGCGCCTTACCAGTTTCTCCTGCAGGAGCTTCAGGCACTCATGGATATGGCTGAGCTGGCCTTTTTCATATTTGATGAACTGGTTTTCTGCCCATTTCTGATTGGTCTCAACTTCCTCATACAGGTTATTGGAAAGTGAATTAAATCTGAGGGAAAAAAATAGTTTGGTCTGTTTTAATAAGTCCATTGAAACATAAAACCCAAATTCAGCAAAGAAAACATCTGCAGTTTCTCTCAGATGAGGAAGCTCAGGTGTGTCTAGCAAGTACTTATGGGGTGATGTGAGGGTGGGGGACCACACTCTGGGGCCCTGTCCTGAGCTCACGTTCTCCCCAGCTGCTGACAATACCCCACCACATACCTTAAAATAAACATACAGTGACAGGAGACAGCCACATGGAAATACGTGTGTCACCCACATAGATGACCTCTCAGGGCCCTGGATGCAGTGTGTGCGTGTGGAGGAAACACTTTAATAAGTCACTCGGGGTGGGGAGTGTTGCTCAATGTGGGGGTGAGCAGACTTTTTCTGTAAAGGGCCGCATAGTAAATATTTGGGGCTTTGCTGATCATATGGTTTCTGCTGAAACCACTTAGTGCTGCCATTGCCGCAGGAAAGTAGTCACCAGTGATACCAATTAGCATGGCTTTTTTATAAAAGAGTAATGGACAAATGAAATTAGACCTGTGGTCTAATGGTCTAATGTGAAATATGGCTGTGGTCTAATCTAACTTTATATAACTTTTTTTTTTTTTAAGATTTTTATTGGGGAATTGGGGGATGGGAACAGCGCTGGGGAATTGGGGGAAGGGGAAGAGACAAGTTGCTGTCCTTTTGTTCTTCAGTCTAGTTGTGGAGGACGTTGCTTCACTGGCCCAAGTTGGCACCATCATTGCGCTCTTCCCGGGCGAGGCAGATCAGTCGCCGGCTTCTGGACGGCCGCTCACTGCGGCTGCTGGCCGCTCACGCTGGCTGCTGGCTACACACGGTAGCTCATGGCAACCCACTGCCACAGGGGCTGCAGGCTACGCCGTCGCTGGCGACTCTCGGCAGCCCAGCTCCAGGTTGAGCTGTTGTTCAGCATCTTAGCTGTAGAGGGCAGTGTCACTGGCCCTCATATGTGGGATCCGAACCGGGGCCCTCTGGCATTCTAAGCCAGCTCTTAACCAACGCATCACTCGGCTGGCCCTAACTTTATATAATTTTATATGGGTTTCAGTGAGTGGATTCTTTGCGGGGTGGGATGGAGGGAGGCCTTAAAAGTGGTGCTGAGCTGTTCACATGGTGCACAAACAGAAATCATAGGCAAAGGTGCAGAAAGGGATGGCTGGCATCAGGATGATGCCACAGGGGTATTAAATAGCAGGATGAAGGGTTTTTAAAAATGGAAGTGGATGTTATTACAGAGATTAAAAGGATTGGAATCATATGTCATCCATTTGAAAAGTCACTATAGAGTGACTGAGGATTTGAGCAGAAAGGGGAATCCACATCTGGAATGACTAAGAATTGCGGGACTGAGAAGAGGTGGGATGAGGGGTGGGAACTGGTGAGTGGTTTCTGTGTGTGTTTTCTGCATAGGACCTGCTTGTGGTAAGATGTCAATTTCAAATTTTCTTTCAGAATAGGCAAAATATTAGATTGGCAGGAACGACGCATGTCGATATGGGAAATACTGAGATTAGTTGTGGCTTGAAATAATAGTTGCTTTCATGTTTTCAGGAAAAATTATATGCAGATAATTTGGTTTGTGATATTTATCATTGGAAATTGCTTAAAACATGCTGGGCATATGAGTATACTACATGTATATGCCTCTTTAGCTTTCCTGAAAAAGCGTTTGGACTAATTGGAAAAGACAAGTTATGTGAGGCCATTTCCATTTTGATTTAGACCACGGGGCACCTAGCAACGTATGGAGCCATTTTTGGTTGTCATAACTGGGAAGCGCGACTGACATGTAGTGGGTAGAGGCCAGACATCCTGCAATGCACAGGACAGACCCACAACAAAGCATTATCTAGCGAAAATGCCAATGGTGTCAAGAATGAGAAACCAGGATTTAGATGACGAAATTCAGGAATGGCAAAAGCAAGTTAATTTTCCTATAGTTATGGTAAATGTAGCATAGTAGCTAAATTTCGATCCTCATCTCTCTGAATTATCACTTTTTTTTTAATGCAGAAAGGAATATTTTTCACATAGAACGCATACCATGATTCAGGCGAGTAACTCAACATCAAAAGAGATGAAGTTGGGTACTTTTCCCCAGTCTGGTCAGGGTTTCCAAGCAATTGTGCTGCTGTGCTACTGGCCAACAGTTGTTGGATCTCGGACAACTAAGCTCCCAACTGAATGGCGGACATCTTTTTAGCCCACTCTTTCCTCTGTCTGATACTCTCTTATAAGAATACGAACTTCATTCAGACTTGCAGACAAGCACCACCTTATCACAGAAGCTTTTTTTTTTTTTGACCACACTAAAGAAAGATCCATTTTACCCTCCTGACACTCACTATTCCCTTACTCTCTTTTTCTCTCAAATGCTCATGTGAGATATACTAATTTGTGTGCTGTCTCCTCCACTAGAACATAAGCTCCATAAGAGCAAGAATTTTACTTTGTTAATGGCTGTGAACAATGCCTGCGATATAGAAAGTGCTCAATAAATAGTTGCTAAATAAATTAATAAATGAGCTATTTTTTCTCATTCCTTTTATTAGGGCTGTTCACAGATAAATCATAGACTTGTCAACTTATTTAGAGACCTAATCTTTGATTTTTCATTTTCACTTCCCTATCTCTGGTGGAAGTATTAATTAATAGTGATTAAGGGGGTCATTAAGTCCTCAGATAACCGAGAGGTAGCTCTACAGTTGGGAAGCCAGCCTCCACTGCTCACCTTTACTGTGTAAATAAATGAGAGCATTTACTCTCATCACTAGTACAGCATTAAAATCCCTCTGAAAACCAATATGCCCAAGTAATATCTCTGGAAGGACATACCAGTAATTGAAATTCTGAAATTTGAGTAAAGCCATAAAGAATGAATTACTACTTATCCTTTCATTACAAGGTTTTGCCTGCAATTGGAGATTCACTTTCCTGGTAACAACAGGAGTCAGACTGTGTAATGGTCATTTCTCAAAATATGAAAGCATTATTTAAAAAAAGACATTCTTCTTGAAAGATAAAAAGGATAACGTAAAAGAAAAACTTATGTAAATCCTTTTTTTCCCGTAGACTTTTTCCTAACATAATGGACATGATTTACCATGTAAAAATTACTTTTCTGTTAATTATAGAACTTACAGTTAAAAACCTCAACAGGATGAATTTACCATGGATGATATTCACATTTTATTATAGCTCCCAAATCCTCTATTCCAGTGGTTATGGGGGGCAATTCTATCAGATGTAGATAGATATAGGTAGGTGGGTGGGTGGGTAAATAGATGGATAGATGATGATTGACAGACAGCTTTTTCTTTCATTTTTCTAAAAACACAGAAGTCAGGTTTTTAAATTATGGCTAGAGACCTCACTAGGATAATGTGAGGTATTGGCTGGATGTTTTTTTCCTTAATATTTATACTGGTGGAGTCAGGTTAAAATACACTCCAAGGGCAATTATGAGGAAGAAAGTTACAAAAAGAGTAAAAAAAAAAGTAACGTAGATCTATAGACATAACAGAGTCCAGGGCAGAGAGCTGTGTTGTGAGTGAATGGTGAGCATGGTGTATGCTGCTTGGAACAAACATCCTGGAGACCACCCTGCTTATGGCAGACATACATAAATGAGGACACAGCTCCATCCTGGACTAGTTTTATTGGTTCTCTTATGTCTCAAATCCAGTGTCTTGCTTTTAAGAACCTGTTGAATGAACTTTTCTAGGAGACATGAAAATTTTGAATTCTTGGAAACTGTTCCTATTAACAGTTTCTTAAGAATTTAGATAATAGCTTTAACCAAATGTGAATATACCAAGATTTAGTGTCTTTTGATGGGCTGATAAACACGGAACATATTTTCATTTTTTCTAATCATATTTCAGTAAGTGCTTTTGACCATGTACAATTATTTCTTTGGAGATTGAGTCTAAGATTTTGTTTCATATCAGAGCAAGAAATTAATTTCCAGAAATATTTTTTCCCTAAGTTTATACCTGTATACCTTAAACTAACTTCTTCTTAATATTCTGTGATTTCTAATTAGTGACACTAATTATAAAGCAATTCCAACTCTTTTCTGATAGGAAGACTTGTTTCTTGGCCACTCTAAATTTTACTTGAGCTTAAATCCCAATATCTTCATAGCCTCATACATTCATATTTTCAATCAGATGTTATCTTTAATTTCTCTAAGCACAATTAGTTTAGTAACAAGTCGAATCATGAAGTAGAGGCATCATGGATTAAAAAAATAATCTGAGATTTGGAATCAGACACTGTCTAGCTGTGTGACTTTGGGCAAATTATTTAATCTCTATGATTATAAGTTTCTTCATATTTAAAAATGGGAATAAGACCCACCCTACAGAATCGGGTGCACTTGAACATCTTGAGCACTTAATGATTGGTAGGCATTTACAAATAACAATTACTATATTATTTCTGCCTTCCAATATATCTCATTTAACATTGTTTTAACTTTTACTTCACCTATGTTTAGCTTTTTATTTATTTATGCATTTTCTCCCCAACTGTCTGTGGCTATGATTAATTCTCTGGATATTCCAAAACACAACTTACATATTATAGGTGCTCAAAACATTCATTTCATTTACTCATTGGCTTCTATTTGTGTCTAGATAAGGGATGCTGAGGATACAAAAGATGGATGAGACACATCTTTGCCTTGGATAGTTTTGTAACTTTCCACTGTGGTAGCATTTTTAAAGTTGTGCGGTAACATTTGAGCCTATGCATTTGCTCCATTGACCAAATACTTTTTAATTTTCTTACAAATCACTATCAACTAGACAGCATCAGCAGCAAGCCACTAGGGGAGTGACTGGTAGGTTCTGCCTGTGCCAAACACTTGCTAAAAGGCAGCTCTATTTCATGATGGTCCAAACTTGCTCTCTAAGCACTAAGTGTTGGCTTAAGTCATTACTTAGCTGAGCCTCTGAGTAAGACCCTTTGGGAAAAAGGAGGCCCAATGCAGGGGTTCCAATTACAGACTGTGTCTCCTTTGTCAGGGTTACGGATAAGTGCCAAAGTCCCAGGAATTCACTAGCAAACTCTCAGACAATAATTGTGGCTCTTAAGTTCAATGGAAAATACGTTTAAATGACCTTTTAACTTAAATTTGTTAACATTTCTAAATGGGAGAATTGCTAAATTAAACTTACCCTTTAATATAATTAAAAAGCTTTTTAATCCCCTCGATCAGAGAGTTATTTCTTTTTAAAAAAGAAGCGGTTCTATACCCCATCTACTTTGATTTGACAAGTGTTCTAGTTAATAATAATTTTTAGAAAAAAGCACTACCTGCCTTATTTTCTCTTGAAAGTATTTGTAATACGGTCTCTTTGAGAAAAATAAATTTGCAATATAAAAGGTTAATATCCCTGATGTGAAGGAATCCCATAAATTGATAAAGAAAAAAGTGATGAAAATCACAATACAAAATTTGACAAGTGATAAGAATGGGCAATTCACAGAAACAAAAATACAAATGGAGAAGGGAATGCAAATCAAAAGAAGAGATATTATTTTTAATCTTTTAATTTTGACAAATATTAAAAAGAGAGAACATTCAGTGTTGGTAAGAATGTTGAGAAAGATCTCATATGTTATTGGGAGTGTAAATTTAAAAAAAGAAATTTATATAAAAAAGTTAATAAATTTGTAAACTCTTTGAACTAGGAATCTTGCCTCTAGAAATAAAAGCCCTGATATCTAGGGTTATCTAAGGATGTACACATGATGATGTTTTTGTTTGTGGTAGCCATAAACTGGAAGGAAATTATTAATCTATCAGTAAGATAAATGGTTGAAATAATTATGGCATATCTGTAAGTTAAAACATTTGCATTTTTGAAAAATATTAGGATACTATTCACTAATCTAGAGAGATATCCAAGATATAGTGGGAAAAAACAAATTATTGAGTAATGTCTATAGGATTTACTTAAAAAAAACATGCCTATAATGTGTTACTTATATATACATACATAATATGCATGTTATATATAAATATATAAATGTGTATATTAGTGTGTATATACAGAAGGTACCAAAAAATGTGAACACATTTTCAGAAAGGAAAAAACTATTAAAATTGTAATACTCAATATATACCGATAACAAAAGGTGAATACAAGTCACGTTTGACTTCTGCAATTACAAGAGGTGCTCAAAGTGGTTACCATCAGCATCTAGACACTTCTGATTACAGCAAACTACTGCTTGAGCAACATTGACCAAAGTGTCTACTCGTATTCATTTTTTTTGGCACCCCAGTATATTGGGTTGTTAGAAAAATCATGACGTATTTTTTTCTATGTTTTCCGTTGCAAAAATGCATCATGACTTTTCTGACAACCCAATGCGCACGTGCGCGCGCGCACACACACCCACACACCCACCCACACACCCACAGTCCTCTTCCTGTTACATATTTATATTAACAAGGAGGAAAGTGTAGAAGGATACATCCCCTGGTGTTAGCATTGGTTACACAAGGAAGCTGAGGTGGAGACCTCTTTTTTCATCTTTGTTTTATTTTGTTTGTTATAATGAATGCATATTACTTAAAAAAAAGATGGAGACAGTTTAAGTAAAAAAGAATCAATTGTGTAATTCAATGGCTTATTAGAGCTCATAAATATTACTTGGGGAAAAACCCGGTTTATAAACTTACTGTTACCTACTGTAATACTAATGAAATTTTAAGGTTTTATCATTTCAAATGAGAAATGATTCAAGTTTATACTATTACGAAAGTGCCCAGACTCAGATTTAACTATTTAGATTATTTGTCTATAAGCCCATTTCCCACAGGACTGAAGATAGTAAAAGTACACAGCATCATCAATAAAGCAATTAGCCCTAGATCTTAAACGTTTCCTATACCCCTTTTCTATTTGTTAATATACTTCATCTCTTTAAGCCAGTTGTCCATTTCAGATTATAAGTTCCATTTCTCCCCCCTCCCACAAATCAATTCTTAAACTGTACTTCTAGAAACACTTTACATCTTTCCTCCTCTTTTGGACATTTAATTCAAAGTGAAAGGGATTAGATGAAGCCCCACACATATTTATTGAGCATTCTCATTGTGCTAAAATTTAAGAACCTAGATATGCTTTTTTAGAGTATAAATAAAGTGGGTATTTTCTGTTTATTCAAGACAGCTACTTCTCTGAGTTTTAGTGATGACTGTTGTTTGTCATCAATTCCTAGAACACATGTATTTCCCAATTTAACATCTATGAAATTGGAAAGTGTCTTAAAATGATGGTATGCTATGTTTTAATGGTTTCATGTTTTAGAGGTACAAAAATAAAATATAATGGTACATCTTATAGTCAGTGGCATTTAGATTTCATGAAATATGGTAGAGATGGGGGAAAATGGAGAAAGCACAGTGTTATCAGAATATTAGATTTGATCAAGTTATTAAACCCAGTAATGTGGGACAGGGAGGACAAAGAACAAGAGTAGAGGGGGCAGTATAGTAGTATCATCCAAGTAACTAGAATGCTCTTTGCCTGCATCAGGATCCCAGGAAGTGGTGGTCATTTAAGAAAGGAGGATTTGAGGGTAAGGAGGGCCATAACCTGATTGTGGAGTCTTATCTCCTTGACTGCTTTCTCCATTACACAGGGGAATAACTCAATTTAAGGTGGGACAGAGGCCAGTCTTAAAAACGGATCATGTAAAGGAATAAGTAGAGGATCTGAGAAGCACTCTTAGAAAAGCTTTTAAGAAAAGCTTTTTGTCATCAGAGGTGTTTTAAAAATTAGTTATACTCTTGTGGAATCAATGTATATTCAGTAGTGCTTTAACATAGAGGCATTTAAATATACAACTAATGATAAATAAAATTCTTCTATAGGAAAGGCCTGAATGAGTATATCAATTCAATTGAGCAATTATGCAAACAAAGAGAATGACAAAATTAATATGCTTTTATTATGAATATTGTATAAGTTACTTTACTGTAGAGTATTCTGCATATCAAGTTGTTGCTTTATTTCTTGGCCAGGTTCATATTCCTGGACTAGGTTTTTGTTCAATGCCAATGCCTTCAGTAGGCAAAACTCTTTGGAATGCATTTAACAGAATTAAAAATCTTCCATTCACTTACTTGAACTCCAAAAGATTCATTTCGTGGCGATAATTCCCCTGGACCATCTTTAAATTCGATATTTGCTCAGAACTGGAAGCCTCCATCTTCCCTAAGAGCTGCATTACCTAATGAAAGTACAAAAGGGAACTTTTTGGGTGTGTGAACAAAATCACTAGCACGTACATTAATTGTACTTTATTCCTAAAGGAGCCAAGAAACAGACTGGAGCCTAAAGCATGTTTGCATTTTTCAAAGGCATGATTCAACGGTGACAAAGCTACCTTCAGGGAAAGAATAATAAGGGGTGTGTCTTTCTGCTGTTTATAATATTATTTTGATAAGAGGTTACTAATGATATAACAAAAACATACTATTGACATCAGGTTATTTGTCAATTTGTTAATTTTATTATTTCTTTATTTTCTGTCTTCCAATTACAATGTAAGCTACTATATCCTCCATCACCCCTAGATCCTCAGTGCACATTAGGTGTCCAATGGTAAATGTTCACCAAACACTTAATGAGTAAGTATTTAAATGAGCAATTAGGCTCTGAAAAAACACAGGAGTAGCCTAATATTAGGCCTCAGGAACTTCCTAGTAGGATTCTGACGTGAGCACATGTGAATCCCAAGTGAAATGACGTAGGGCATTTAAAGATAAGGAAAACCAAGTTTCAGCCCTGGCAGTTAGGATAAGAGTGCCTTCCACGTGCTAGAAACATTGAGGAAGCTCCTTTAGGTAAAGGGGCTGGATTGGAAAATAAATGCAGTTGCAACACATGATCACGGCTAAACGAGTCACTGTCAAGGGGAATAAAACTCAATGATTGCTTTGGCCAAACAGAGCTCAGCTCCTGAAACAGATGGTCATAAGGAGAGTGGGAACTTAACAAAATCAGAGCTCTCTTAGAGAAGGAGGAGGTGAGTAATGGAAGGGTTTGAATAGATAAATGTTGGGACGGCAACCAATGACACATGAATGGCTATTTGTAGGAGGTACGCTTAAGGCAGGATTGTTTTAATAGCAAAATAATAGGCAAATTCATGCCTGGCAAAAGTGAAGAAAAAGAAAGTAGTCTGAGCAATTGTTAGATAAAAATGTTATTGAAGGCAAAACATGTTAAATGGACAAAGAAGATCATTTTTGTAGATGATGAAGTAGAATCCACTGTGAAAAATAGTTTTGAACATCTATTTACCTTATATATTGAACTAAAAGTAAACAGTTAATAGAATTACAAGAATAAACTGATGATAAAAATACAGAATATACACTTTTTTTAGAACATGTACAAAATTTTACTTTCTGGCCACAAACAAACAAACAAACAAACAAAAACCCTCAAAATGTTCCAAAAACTAAAACTGGTATATACAACACAAATTATGATAAGATAAAACTAAAAATAGCAGCATAAAAAACCCCCAAAGAGTACTTAGAGGAAAAAAACCAACAACTATTCTTAACTTCAACCAAAAGAAAAATACAACATGCAATAGCAAAATTTCTATGAAACAATAAGAACAGTACATATCAAAATCTAGGGAATATAGGGTTAAAAGACTAAATGAATGCTCAGGAAAAATTCACAACCATAAATGTTTGTATCAGTAAAAAAAGAAGGAATACAAATACATATGGTTCAAAAGTTAAATGAACAGCACAGCCAACTGCAGGAAAGGAACAAAATGACAAAATCTTAAATTGGTGAGATGGAAAACAGAATGGAAGCAGAATTTTAAAATACTTTAAAAGACTGATTCATTGCCAAACAATCAATACAATTGTTAAGCCATGACTACCTTAACTCATCAAGGGGAAAAAGAGCACAAATAAAATGATAAAATGGCAAGGGTAACAAATAAAAGCAGAGGGGATTAAAACACAATCCTAAAAGTATTTTTGTACTACTTTTTATGCTAATAAATTTCAAAATTTGAATGAGATAGATATTTTTTTCCAAGAAAAAGTAATTTAGTAACGCTGACCCTTGAATAGATAGAATGTTCAAACAGGCCAATTTCCATAGAAAGAAAATGAGCAAAGATATCAAGAACTCCTCCTTCTAATAAAGCATAATGCCCAGATAGTTTCAGAGGCAAAGCTGCAAAATTCTTTAAACATAGAAAATTATAATGCTCTTTAAACTGTTTCACAGCATAGAAAAATTAAGAAAAACTTCCAAATTATTCTTCTGAAGTCCGTGCAACACTGATCCCAAAATCTGAAAAAATTTACACATAAACCCAGAGACTAATCTCATTTGTAAACATTGATGCAAAGTTTTTCAATAAAATAGCAGCAAACAGTATCCAGCAACACACATACAAAAACTACATCATCAATTGCAACTTATTTTTTAAAAAGCAAGGATGGTTTAATAGTAGGAAATGTATTAATATAAATAACTATGATAGTAGAACTTGGGAGAAAACCCACGTGATTATCTCCACAAATGCTGAAAAGGCATTTGGCAAAATTCCTAATCATTTTTGATACAAACAAACAAACAAACAAAAAAACCTCAGTAAAATAGGAATAATTGCACATTAAACATGTTTATTGAGGAAACTGACTTACCTGACAGGGAAACAGTGGGAGCATTTCTGTTAAAGTCAGAACAAGGGCAGGATGCCCACTTCCTGTCACTACTATTTAATATTAAAACAATTAGAAAAGGGAGAGAAAATGCATATGAAAATTGGAAAAGATGAGGTAAAATTATTTTAAAATGTGATCATGTGCCTGGAAAAAGCCCTAAAAAATTATCATTATCAAGAATAGAATTTACTGAGTTAGTGGAGTATAAAATTAATATAGCTTTCATGATATACAACTAACAGCTGGTCAGAAGATACAATGAAATCCCATTATAATAAATTAAAGCAAAAAAAAGATAAAATATCAAAATATATTTAAGAAGAAATGATGCCAGAACTGTATGAAGAAAATCTGAAACCATTCCTAAAGGAAATAAAAGCAAACCTGAACAAATGGGATGCACGCTAAGTTCTTAGATGAAACACTCAGCATTGCGACTATGTTCATGCTAAAGTTAATTTATAAATTTAACATGATTTCAACAGAAATTAAAGCTGAGTTTATTGCTTCATTTGCTAGAACTGTTATAGATAGGTTGATTTTAAAATCAAATGCAAATACAATTATCACCAGGAAAAGGGGGAAAAAGAAAGCGCTAGAAGAGACTAGCCCTATCAGATACTAAAATACTATGAGGTTTCAAAAATATAATAATTAAGATACATCTTATACTAGGAAAAACACCAAATCAAGAATTTAAATGTAAACAATAAAGCATTGAAAAATTCTAGAAGAAAATATGAGCAATTCTTTCAAGCTTTTGTAACTGTAACTTAAAATCCCAGAAGCCAAAAAAAATGACAGATAAGTTCAGCTACAAATAGACAACATATGCACGTCAAAAGACAAGTGACAAACTAAGAAAATGTATTTGCAGCTCATCTTATGGAGAAAGAGCTTATTCCCTAACACATAAAGAACTCCTAGAAATTGAGAAGAAAAAGAAAAATAGGTCAATAGGGAAATGATTAAAAGGCATGAACAAACTGCTCACTGAAAAAGAAATACAAATAGCTCTTAAATATATGAAAAGATGCTCAACCTCATTCATGATAAGAAAGGCTTATTAAAATATGAAGATGCTGTCTTTTTCGTATAAGAATGGCAAAATTAAAAAATCAAACAATCCCTGGTGAGGCAGTGGGGTTATAGGATAATACAATTGCTGGTTGGTGCAATATGGTTAAAGTCCTACAGAGAACAAGATCTTTCAAAATAACAAACACATGTACCTTTGACCCAGCAATCTCACTTCTGGTATTTATCCTACAAATAGACCTGCATACATGCAAAATGCCACAAGTGAAGAAAATGCCACACTGCAGCATTGTTTGAAAGAGCAAAATGTTGTAAAGACCCCAAATGTCTATCATGAGAGTCTAGCTAAATGAACTATTGTATACAGAAGAAGAGTGTGCAGTCATTAAAAAAGAATGAGGGAAGCTCTCCATGTCCTGATAGGGTGGTTCTCCAGGATATATTTGTTAAGTAAAAAGAGAAAGATGCATTGTGATATATATATATATATATATATATATATATATATATATATATATATATATATATATATAATGCTATATTTTATGTAACGGGGGAAATAATATATATTTGCATTTTCTGGCACCTTCATAAAGGCATGCTGAAATGATCCACAGCAGACTGGTAAAAATGGCTACCTATGTGGCAAAAGTGGGAGTGAAAATTCTCAGGGTATATTACATAATTTTGATTTTTAAACCATATGTATGTGTTACCTGTTTTTTTTGTTTTTGTCTGTTTATTTTCTTAAAACTAAGAGAGAAAAACTATAGTCCAGTGTCACTTTTGAGTTTAGGTGCGAAATCAAATATTACACAATGACTGCATAACTTTCATTGTAGAAATGCAAAAATGTTTCAATATTGGGAAATGTAGCAACATAGAACATTAGAAGGCCAAAGAAGTAAACAAACAAGCAAAAACCCAAACCAATAAACAACCGATATGATGTTGTAGGCATTCGTTGATGTCTAAAAGGCATTTGATAAATAATTCAGTCCTAATAAAAACTAAGTAGGAGTTGAACATGGTTAAAAATATATCAATCAAATCAACAGCCAACAGCAAACAACAAAGACGTTCCCAGTACAGTCAGGAACTAGATAAGCTTGCTTCTATGACAACTTTTATATAATAGTGTCCCGGATGTTCTGGTCAGAGCCTTAAGGAAAAAGTAATGAGGAATTAAATCAGAAAACCAGAGGTAAAATTGTCATAATTTGTTGTTGATGTGAGTATCTTGAAAAACTAAGAGAATCAATAAAAAAAAAATGATTAGGACTAAGTAGATGTGTGCATAGGGGAGTGGACAATGGGAGACTGCTGGGAATGGAGTAAGCTGTGTGCTTGTGAACCTTCTGCTCTTGATAAACTGGCTCCCAGAAACAAATAATCATACACCAAACTTCCATCTCCCCCAGTTCCCCAAAGACTTCCACTTTGTTCTGCCCAAACGACTTCAGAAGAGATGCAGTGAGGCACAGAAGGCTTTGCACTGGCTCCTTCAGTCAAACCACTAGCTGGGTAGATGAGAAAGGGGAGACATTTCAGGCAGAGAAGAATAAGAACAACATGGAGGCCGTGCAATATCTTGGTGTTAGTGGGGGCTTCCCTGCAAAGTAGTGCAGTATCACTGGGTACAAAGGATGAGCAACAAGGAAGAGATAAGCAGGGGCCAGCGTAGAGATGGCCTGTAACATCCAGGCCGGGGGTCCTGTGTATTGTTTTGTAAGAAACATAACCCATTGCAGGGATATACCATGATCAACTCACATTAATGTTGGAACTTTAATGATAATAGCTACCATGGGAAATTCTTTTGCTTATAACCCCTGGTTCTACAGTTTTGAGAGGAACCCAGAGAGGAAGGAAATAATGCCAATGGTGGAATCAAGTGGCATACTTAATTGGGTGGGTGTGTTGGAACATAGGAGTCACTCATTAAATATTCATTGGTTGAACTGACAGTTCTAATGGTGTACTGGCATGAGCTATCATATTTAAAGCCTTTGGAAGACAAGAGTTCTTTTGAACAATTGCCACTTGACTGGGCATTTTGATAAGCTGTAATGATCTGACTTCTGGTGGTAACACATTATATAAGTATTCCAACTATTTTCAGTTACCTTCATATCCAAGTTCTTAGAAACAGTTTCTAGGGCAGACATGAGCTCTTGAATTGTTTTTTCAATTTGCTGGTGCTCGTGCCTGATGAAATGCACATCTCCAGAAAGCTTCACAATACTGGAGTCACATCTAGTGGCAAGATGGAAATTGGTTGTGAGATCAATAGGCTCATAACAGTTTTAATACTATAGTAGGATCTGTGCATTCATTTGATGGCAAACGTTCTAAAGTTCTTTGAGTAATGAGCTGGTAGATGTAGGAGCATATACAGGACTCTCCTTCATTTTCCTCTTCTCTTCCTGATGGGAGAGAAACCAGGTTAATAATACTCCTGCCCAAACCAGATAACTGAGTTGGAGTAGATGAAGACATTGGAGTAGAGTTGGAAATTGGGAGGAAATTTTAGATTTTTGGCCTGCTGTGTTAACTCGGCCATAGGCGTGCCAACAGATTTTCATGTTTTGGGAATATTCCCTGCTGCGTATGGTTAGAAAAAAATGAAATTTTTTCCTCTTCTGTATCACACTTTGAATCTATTTTTTCTCCCATTAGCTTCTTTCCTTGGCTCCCAGATTGGTTAATTCTCTTCTGGCTAGAAAAAAATGTCCTGACCCACCAAGGTCTTTTAACACATCTTCAAAACACATTCTCCCACCTCTTAGCCCCAGTCAAAACTCCTTGAGTGGTCTCAGTCAAGTGTTGTCTTATATTAGGACAAACATAATTCACCCTAACATGTGAGTGAAGCTTTGGTCTTCAAGTTGCATTTGGCATTTTCAGGAAGGAACTCTAGTGATATGGGGCTAGAGTTGAAGCTGAACCATCTTCCCAGCATGTTAGGGAGCTCCACACCACCACCACCACTACTCAGGCCTCTCGGGAGAGAGCAGGTTACATATTGTGTTGATCATAAGTTTCAGTACGCTCCTGTATGTGTGCAAAATAGGATGGAGAACGCTGACGGGCTGTGTCTTTTGTATAGGAATTATCAGAGATCACTTTGAAGCTTTTCATTTTTTAAAATAACTGTTTTGACTGTCATCAAATATTGGGAACCACGTTTTCATGTTATCATGCTAAGTGCTACAAATATTGTTTGTTTTATGACTGTCAACATTATTAAGATCCAGAAATAAGTTTCATTTTATTGAGATTTTTTGATGTCAATGTTGAGCCAAAGGTGAGTGAAGATGGTAATTTTGCCTAAGCAATCCCTTGAAGGGATACCCGGTGACTGCGCTTAGGGGTGAAGAGGGGGAAAAAAAATTAGGAATTAATCTAATCAAGATGGGAGCTGCATGACATACACCAATGTCATGGTCAAGGCCATTTCAGACGTTTGTATACATAAAATACTACTGTCAGAACCACCTCTGTTGTTGGTTAGTTAGCATATTCTTATGTGAGTCCACATTAAGACCCCCAAAGACTACACAGGAGTGCTTGCTCTGCCACTCATTCCCTCACATCTCTTCTCCTTGTTCCCCACCCTCTGGAACAGCTGGTCTGTGCAGTGTAGGCTAGTGGTTAAGAATGAGGCTTCTGGTGTCAGATAGACTAGGCTTTGAAACTGGATTTTGCTGTTTCCTAGGTTTGTGAACTGGGACAAGTTTCTCAACCTCCACGAGGGGGTAATGATGCTGAGATCACTGCAAATAGCTGCACAATTTGTCCACCACACATCTCCAGGGCCCACCAGACACAGGTGACTATGTGACTCGTGTCTCCTGGAGTGCTGCGTGCTCAACCTTTAAAACCATAGGTAGCTATGCTGAATAATGATACTTCATAGGGTTATTTAAGGATGAAAGGAGGTAATGAATGAAAAGCGTGTAGCCAGTGCCTGCCTGGCACAGAGGAAGCACCCACACAAGATCAGCAGAATGTCACTTAAATATGATAATGTTATCCTCTTACTTAAAATCTTCCCATGGCGATTGATAACCTTCTACATAAAGTTCAAACTCTTCACGTCGGCCCTCAAGATCCCTTATCATCCAACCCAGGACCACTTCTCTAGCTTTATCTCCCAGTCTCTCATTTCTCTAAATGCAGATCCCAAAATACCAGAGCTAAAATACTTTTCTTATAGGTAGGCCCTTGAACATTCACAATAATTCATCCCTTAGTTCTTTTGCACATGTTATTTCTTAAATGTGATGTGCCTTTCTCACCCACCCTTCCTTGTCTAGCTAACTGCTGCCAAGCTTTAAAAACTCATCTCAAGTTTCACCTCCTTCAGGAAGCCTTCCCAGTGGCCCAAGCTGACCTGGATACTCCCATAACACTTCAGGCTTTCTTTATAATGCTCACCTCATTGCTTATACCTGTGGCTTGTTTTCCCAGGTAGACTGTAAACAGCTAAGGCAAGGGGGACTGTGTTGCTGAACCCCTGAATCGTAGCACACTGCCTGGCATATGATAAGTGCTCAATACATTTTTGTTGAATTGAATGGGAAGTTTGTCTTAAATGCTAATCACCTAATTCTTTGTTGTTGTTTTTTTGTTTGTTTGTTTTTTTAAACTGAGCCATCCTACCATCTGTTGACAGCTCAGCAGCTGCTCAGCTCGGGTTGGGAATCAAACAGCTGTTACTCAGAACTCAAACTTGAGCGAGCTCTTAACCAACTGAGCCACTCGGCCGGCCCTACCTAATTCTTATTTGGTTATTAACACTTAAGAGTGATTAACCAGATGGAAGTAGGGGTAGTCCAGGAGTGAGGAAAAAGGTGCTGACAAAAGATGTAGAGATGGACAGGTGATCATGGTCAGCCATTCACAAGTCATCTTTGCCGTGTCTACCAGAGTGGTCCTGCCAATGTGAATGCCTACAGATTTTTACTGAATTGTTACCATTATTCTTTTGATTTAGAAATCTCATACAAAAGGTGTTATTCAAAATTTTATTCATTGGCAGTAAATTCCTTTGTTAGACTTTTATGTGTAATTCTTACATATTTTAAATGTTTTAATAATTATAATTTGACACCTCTGGGGATTTTATAATTGGCTATGAGGGTGTGTCTTTGTATGGATGTTGGCATTTGCACAGTTGGAGTCTGTAAAGAAGACGCTTGTCACTTGTGGATCAAACTGGATATTCTATATGAGGGGACTTTTATAGAAACCTTGAATCTTAGGTAACATGAGTCTTTCAAATTCTATGACACACTTTCTCAACTACCATCTCATCAGTTTAGCTTAATGTAAAGACAGTATCTTGTTTGGAACAGTAAGGAGCTTATTTGGGAATGAGAATTCAGTGACCAAGAACTGACTGTTGCTAAATCTTAGTTAATGCTGCTTCTCACCTGGCGACTCTTCCTCGAAGATCTCCAATACCTTGAAGATGTTTGGTGTTTAGCTCCTGTACTGCAAAATTAGTTCCTGTGGCCGTCTGGTCTCGAACTCTTATTTGGTCTTCTAAATTCTGTAATTTTAAGGAAAAATTCCTGTTAATTTCCCATCACACATAAGAAAATATTATTCAAAGCCGAGGTTACAAAATCGAATGCCTTTTCAAGTTAGGCTAATAGTGTAGATGAGTGAGAGAGTCCTATGTCAGGGAGAGGCCACCCCTGCTTTATCCTAGGGAGGCAGTGGTGGCTTAATTCCAACTGATTGTTGCCACTTGAGAACAATGGTCCAACAGTGTTTCAACAGAAGACAGAAATCCAGATTTTATATTAAATATCTCAATTTTAAAATATTGACACTTTATTCAAAAATTTCTAAAAGCACTATGTGGGCCACACTAAACATAGTTATTGTGCTGTTTGGCCATGGATTGTCATTTGGCCATCATGATACAAATTTCTCACAAAAACCTGTTTCAGAATTGGTGGTAAGTTTAGAATAAGGGATCTTTCTTATGGCATCAGGCAAGGCACTTTGCAGATTGAATCAGAGCACAGTGAAGCTAATACAACTAACACGAGCAAATCTGAATCAACCTGTTTCATATACATGGAGTGAAAAAGGTTTATTCTAAGCTATTTTAGAGAACATGAGAGAGTTATGGCTCAACTGTCTTCAGGTTTTGCGTTTGAGTATCCTCAGTCATGTCTTCATTATATCTTGGTATATAAGATATACCAAGTCATCTTGAAGTAAAGATGACTTTATATCAAGTTGGTGGTCCCAAGAACAGTAGTTTTTAATCTTTTGCACTCATATATAAATAGTAATTTAATAATTGAAAAAAATTTGCTTGTCCATAAGAAAAAATTATGTCTTATTTGACATTCAAACAAATTCCAATGTAAAGTGAGGATATATAAAAAATAATTTGTATTTACGCAGAAAAAAGTGAGAGTATAGGACTTTGGAAAAAACAAATCTGTGATATGGGAAAACATTCAAGTTCAGTTACTATATTTGACTGAGGCCTGAACTACATATAAATGTTATGTTTATGAATTTTCTAAGGAAAAGAAGGGTTTTCATAGCAAATGAATTGTAGATATATCAAAGACTATATACAGACTCTGGTCCATTTGTAAGTTGGCAGATGAAGACAACCTACACTTTAATCGAAGACATAAAAGTGTCAAAAATACTAGCTAGAGTTTTGCTTGTTTTTGTTTGTTTGTTTTTGCACATGTGTAGGCGTCTTAGTCCAGATTGCTGTAACAAAATACCACAGACTGGGTAGTCTGTAAAAACAGAAATTTATTCCTCACAGTTCTGGAGGCTGGAAGTCCAGATCAGGGCACCAGTATGATCTGGTTCTGGTGAGAACCGTCTTCCGCATTGCAGATTGCCAACTTCTTGCTGTGTTCTTACATGGTGGAAGGGACTAGCGAGCTCTGTGAAATCTCTCTTAAGAGGGCACTAATCCCATTCGTGAGCGCTCCACTCTCATGACCTGAGCACCTCCCAAAGACTCCACCTCCTAGTACCATCACATTGGGCATTAGGATGGCAACATATCCTGAATTTGTGGAGATACAAACATTCAGACCATAGCAGTAGATGTTGTTATTTGACTTTGTAAAGAACAGTGATGGAAGGAAACTTGCCCTACTAGATACTAAAAAAATCTTACAAAGTAAGGATAAGTAAATCAGTATAGCTACATAGATCAATGTAATGTAATGAAGACCTTGGTGTATCTAAGAAAAAAATATGCTATACATGAGACTCACTAATCAATGGGGCAGGAACTCCACAGGTGATTATGGGATCTCTGATAAGTTATTCAGAAAACAATCCTTTTAGATCCCTACTTCACATCCTACATCAATATAGATTTTGGAAAAAATAGATTATAAATAAATAAAAAGTTAAACCATAAAATAACAGATAATAAAGATCATTTCATCTTTGAATGAGGAAATGTCTATTCTTAAAAGTAATGAAAGACATCACAAGGCAAAATATTGGAATGTTCAACTTTATAAAAAAACGTGTAAAAAATTTGAAATATAATTAAGACATAAAAAACTGGGATAACATTTATAACAAATGTTGTTGCCAAAGGTTTCAGAGGTGTGCTACAATCAGCACGCACATGTTCATGTGAGCCGATTGTTCCTATTTCTTCCCACCTTTGTATTTAGTAACATCATGTTGGTGTTTGAAATCAGTCATAGTGAGAGTATTTGCACCGTGGAAATAGGCAATCACTGCAAATCAGACTTTAATCACCCAGAAAAAAATTGATTGCTGATTACTAAACATTTACCAACATACCACTGGTTATTATCCTTAATTAATAAAAAAGATAATCAAATCAATACAAATTAAAAAGCACTAAAAACCTCCAAAATAAATTGACTAAAGACATTAACAGATTATTGACAGAGAAAATGCAAATTGTGATAGTTGCTTTTAAGAAGTTAAAAAAACAGAAAGATCTCATTACTATCCCATCAAATTAAGTAAGATTAAAAACAATAAATCTCAATGCTGGCATCAGCATAGTGAAGAAAGCGCTGTCATATAATGCTAATGGAAGTGTAAATAGCTATTAACTTTCTGAAAACCAATTTGGTAACATGCATCAAAGGTTTTCACAGTGTCTATACCCTGGTAATTCTACTTCTTAGAATATATAGTGTGGAAATAATCCAAATGCGGACACATATCTATGTACAAAGATATGTTAATATTAGGAGAATAATTAAGCAAATCATGATGTATGCACCATGCAAAGAGCTTTTAATGACATATGAAAGCTTATGATTTAATTTTATATTAAAGATTGTGCTTGCAAATGTAGTCTCAGCCTCCTAAATGGAATGTCTGGAAGCACTAGAGTGAGATGCATCTGAATGTTTGTAGGGACTGCAATTTGGTGGCAGAATTATGAGAAAATTTTTTCTCAGATTTTACACATTTTTCTTAAATTTTCAAAATAATTACAATGAACAAGCATTACTCTTATAGTTTGGGGGGAAAATACAATATAGTAATGTTATACATAAAATTCTCTTTTCCTGAGTTAAAAATAATTTAATTTTAAAACAATTAGCTGGCAGCTTAAAAAAGAAATAGTTTGATTTTTTAAAAAGGAAGCAAATTTACTGCAATTATAGTTGATTAAATTTTTTTCATGCCTTTTAATGACCCATGTGAGATATCAACTCATACTTGGCTCTACCTGGCCAATTTGCAAACAGGCTGTTCTGGTTAATGAGTTTGTATTCTTTTATAATATTTGAATAATGTCCATTTCTCTGTAAAATGCTTATTGCTTTATAGTCTTAGTTATTTACTAAAAGTAGCCTGTTTCTTCTTCATTTTTTATCTATGTGATCCATAACCTTTAAAGTATTTTCTAATTTCGTTTTCTGCACAGACCAGTCCTCTTCATTTTCACTACATGTGCCAAACCCTTAACATGATTATAAATATTTTGAGATTTTTACAATATTTGGAAAATGTTTCAGCTTTATTTTTTTTAGAGCTAATCTAAAATAATGCTTATAGGAAAAGAATCTCTTAGCAAGATTTCCAGAGATCTGGGAACTTTCCTTGTCTTAACGCTAAGAGTATTTTAGTGGGGTATAATTGCTATGTATTAAAATGTATCAATCAAAGTTTGTATCTGCATAAATTTTGACAGATATAATCAACTATGTATGAACTACCCAGGTCAAAATATAGAACATTCTAGAAGTATTTTGATATTTCCGAGAATGCTGTTCTCTTGAATTACCAAGACGTTTTGATTCCTAAATTAGGATCTTATTTTAGTGCTAGTGCTATCCTTACTTGATTTTCTCATCATCTCAAAGGCACTGAGCCCCTTATCTCTTGTCACTTTCACGACACTTTATTATACCTGGAAATACCTTTGACCACTATGAGAAGTGGCATTAACTTTTAGGCGGTGGGGTCAATTTAGTATGTGCTAAATACCAATAAAGTGCTCTTTAAAAGTTCTCTAAAGTTTTTTTTAACTTTCCACAAACCCTCAAATGCATTATGGAGTCTTCCAGGCCCCACAGATAGAACATAAATTAATAAATATCCTTAGTCTTAATTACAAAGTCATGAGGAAGCCATTGCTGAGTCAATCTCATGTTGTTTTTTGTTTGTTTTGTGTAATCCACTGTTCTCTCCAATAGTAGAAAAGGAGGACATTGTCATCAATTTTCAAGATAATTCCCCACATTTTTGGCCAGCTTCCTAAAGTGTATTCTCTGGAACCCTTCCCTGAAAGTTGCTACCCCAGATTTATCGTACTCATCAGCACTTTAAAAACAGTCATTAAAGACCTGTAGTAAAACCTGTTTATCTTGGTTTAAACCAAGCATTTTCTTTTTTGATCAGAAACTCTTTTTCCTTTAACACCTTAAACATCATCCATTCATTCATTCATCAGTTCATCTATTCAGAAAATATTGACTGAGTGCTGACTACCTACCAGACATTCTCATCGTCTGGTGTGGGATTTAGCAGTGAACAAAACAAAGCTCCTGCTCTCATGGAGGTTATATTTTAGAAGGGGAAAACAAACAATAAAGAAATATAGACCACAGTTGTTTGTGATAGTGCTATGGATAAAAATAACGTAGGGTTAAAGAGGATTGTGATTGTTGGGGTAGGGAGGGGTGCTGTTTCACAGTATGTCAAGGGGCTCCTCTCTGAGAAGGTGATATTTGAGCAGAGACCTGAAGGGAATGAAGAGCATTGCATATGAATATCTAGCAGAAGATGATCCAGTCAGAGTGAATAGCAGGTGCAAAGGCCCTGAAGCCAGAGTGTTTACTATGTTCTAGGAAGAGCTGGGAGGCAGTATGGCCAGAGTGAAGGGGAGAGCAGTGGGAGCTGGGATACAGAGAGACTGTAGTGGTCCTGTGCACCAGCATTGCCACTTCATTATGTGTGTGTGTTGTTTTTTTTTTGTTTTTTGTTTTTTTTTAGCTGAGCCATCCTGCTACCTGTTGGCAGCTCAGCGGCTGCTCAGCTCGGGCTGGACTCGAACGGCTGTTGCTCAGAGCTCAAACTCTTGAGCGAGCTCTTAACCAACTGAGCCACTCGGCCGGCCCGCCACTTCATTATGGAAAGCTCTATTTGAAATCATTCCATTAATAGAATCTTGGATATTTAGACTAAGATAAGCAAGCACCTTAGCACAATGTTTGACATAATGCTGAACAACTGTCTTTGCTGTCACGTAGATACTCAACAAACATTTTTTGAACAGAATTTCCTTCTACTTTTTTGGCATAAATGAGTATTTGGAATACTGAACTGTATTCCTCAGAGGCAACTAAATGGTAATCATTTAAACTTAAACAATAGCATTTAAACTTAAACTACAGTTGAAAAATAGCATTGGTGGTTGATAATATTTGTCAAGCAATGGTGCCTCCATGTGGCAAATAAAAAACTACCTCAATATTTTGGCTGAGTTTTTTGACGATGCTGGTGATGGTCTGGATATGGTTTTCCAGTAGCTTCCTGGCAAGTGACTCCTCTTTGCGAAAGCCGTGGTTTCCCTGAAGACAAGCAGAGATGTCCTCTTTGATGTGGAAGGCTTGTTCAAGGAGGAAAGCTATCGTGCGCTCCTGGCTGTTTAGTCTGGTTTCTAGCTGACTTCTCTGGGTGTTTGGAATGACAGGAAGGAAAGAATGGTCCCTGGTTAGGAAAAGGAAACAACACCCTGGGTGTTACAAGAATGAACTTGGAGGAGCCAGAAACAGAACTTGCATCCTCACTTCTATGCCTGTATTTTCTCTGTGAGAAGTCTTCTAGGACTTTCAGCCCTGGCATAGTTAGAATCTACATCTCACCTAAGAACCTGATCTGACATAGGTCTTGACTTGTATCATGCATTTTTCATGTTTTCCAAGCAGGAATTGTTCTATATTTTTACCTACTATTCTAACAAGCCAAGCTGGACACATAGATTTAATACCTGTTAATTCAATATTGAGAGTCCCAATATTATTTTATGTTAGTTTCAGCTATACAGCATAGTGCTTAGAGTTTTCTATAATTTATGAAGCAACCCCCCCCCACACCCCAATTAGTCTGTCTCGTACCCACCTGGCACTATGCATAGTATCACAATATCACAATATTCCTTATGCTGTACTTTACATCCCCATGACTATTTTGTAACTACCAATTTGTACTTCTTAACCCCTTCACCTTTTTCACCCATCCCCTCATCAGTTTGTTCTCTGTATCTATGAGTTTGTTTCTGTTTTGTTTATTTTATTCTTCAGACTCCACATGTAAGTGACATCATATGATATTTGTCTTTGTTTGACTTATTTTACTTAGCATAATACCTTCCAGGTCCATCCATATTGTTGCAAATGGTAAGATGTCATTCTGTTTTATGGATGAGTAATATTCCATTGTATATATGTACCACCTCTTCTTAATCTGTTGGTCTATTGACGGACACTTAGGAGGTTGCTTCTATATCTTGGCTATTGTAAATAGCACTGCATTGAACATAGGGGTGCATATGTCTTTTCAAATTAGTGTCTTAGGTTTCTTCAAATACCCAGAAGTGGAATTGCTGGGTCGTAAGGTAGTTTTATTTTTCATTTTTTGAGAAACTTCCACACTGTTTTCCATAGTGGCTGCACTAATTTGTAATCCCACCAATAGTACATGAGGGTAAGATTCCTCTTTCCTATCTCCTACACACCTGAGGAATGAAGAAGGCTTTGCTAAGGCATTTTATTAATCAGATTCCATGTATCACTCATTTGGCTCAAAATGTTCTCCTGGAAAATTACCAAATGGAACCTCATCTATACATTGGGTTATCGGAAAAGTTATGACGCATTTTTGCAATGAAAAACAAACAAAAAAATACATAATGACTTTTCTGACAACCCAATAAAATCTATTCCTCTAAAACTCCAGCATGTTCACAATGCTACCCTGATTGGATGTATGAGTCACAGGCAGAGAGGAGGAGGATATTGGACCCTGCTTATGGTGACATGTGGCCTAGTGGTGGGCTACAGATTTGCTCATTATTTTCCTTGAGATAGCTCTTCTTTCTGGCCTCTAGATAATCTGCAGCCTGGATTTGCCAGTGAAAGGGTATTTGCTCTCCAGTCTTCAGTCCTGTACAAACACTTGTAAATTATACTTCACTCCTCTCAAAATTTAGATTTTATCTTAGGAGGTCCCAGTGTGGCAGACACTGTAGGTTACCTTCCTGATAGCCATCTTTCCCTTCTGCCTGATTTGATTCATCCTCCTGTCCCCCGTGTCCTTCAGGGAGCAAGCCAATCATGGTTGTCCCATTCTTCTGAGTTGAGATGTAATTGGTTTAGGTAGGAGCATGTGAAGCAATCCTGGCCAATGAGAATCAAGAGGGATCCTACTATGGGGCTTCTGGATAAGGTTTCTTTGCCTTCAAGGAGAGACACACAGGAAGAAACTCTCCTTCCCTTTGCTGGGTGTTGTCATGTCTCTGCTTGATGCCTGGAACTGCTGAAGCCATCCTGGGATCATGAGGGAAAAGGCAATGGCAGGGAGGAAGGAGAGAAAGCATTTGGTTTCTTGATGATGTTGTTAAGCCTCTAAATTAACCAAACTCTAGATTCTTTGTTTTCATGTGAAATAATCATTGTCCTTACATTTAAGCCATTTTGGTTGGAGTGTTTTTATGTACAGCTGAAAGCACTGTATCTGTATCTAATAACTTACCAATAAAAATGTCAGTCGAAATAGAAATATATCAGTAAGAATTTACTAAATGCTGTAGTCTATATGCAATATACAGTAGTTTCGTCCCTCAAGGAACTTAGTCTGACTTAGTGTTTCTCATAAAGAAACTTAAATTAGTATCATGGGGTTGGGGAAGTGAGGGAAGTTGTTAAAATGCAGATTCTTCGGATCTACCATAAACCTAAATCATAATCTTGGGGGTGTGGAGTGGAGCTAGAGAATATGCATTTTAAATAAGCACTTATGTGATTCTAAAGACTGAATAGTACTGATTTAAGATCGGTCATGTGAATCAGTGAATAATATAAGGCAGGATATATAATAAAGCTCTGAAGTATTAAATATGGAATATGAGCTCTCAAGTTATGTAGCTATTCAGAAGCAGATTGGTAAGTTGGAAGGCGAGATAGACTGAGGGTAGAATACAGGTCTGCCACTTACCAACAAAGTGTTTCAGTTAGTGTATTGTGGACCAGTGATGCAGATTTGCGTTTATCTTGATCAAAATTACCATGTCTACCAAGACAGCTATTACAATCATGTGGCAATTGCTGAAACTCTCTTTTCAAGACAATGTAGAGTATGTGGAACAATCAGAGTGAACAGGGGTCTTCCTCCAGAAATGAAAAATGAATCACAGTCTCTGAAACATGGCAAAACCACATTCAGGAGAAAGGGTGAAATTCTTCTTAAATCCTGAAGGGATACTCATTTTGTCAACATGATTTCCACAATTCACGATTCAACAATGGTTAATGTTCCACGGAGCAATGAAGAAGTAAAGAAAAAACCTATTTGTATTTTTCGGTATAATATGTTCATGAAGAGTGTTGATACGACAGATCGGTACTTGTCTTATTATTCTCTCTTGAGAAAAACAGTGAAGTGGCCAAAGAAAGTTGCATTTGGCTTATAAGTTGTGCACTTTTCAGTTCTTTTCAGATCTATCAAAAACTAAACCCTACATCAAAAATGAGATACAAAGAATTTCTGCTACAAGTGGCAAAAGACTGGGCTGCAGATAAGGTGGAGACAGACTCAGACACAGACACAGATGCAGCACGCCCAGGAACATCAACCCAAACCCCTCGTGTGCCTCATGAGGACCCCCCTGGGAGACTTTCGGGTGATATGTGCAAACATGTGCTAGAGAGGATTGTTGGAAGTGAATGGGGTAAAAGAAAATACCCTGCTAGGAGGTGCCATATTTGTGCTGCCCACAAAAAAAGAAATGAAACTTGGTACATCTGCAAGTTCTGCTTAGTGCCACTCCATAAGGGGGAATGTTTCCAGAGGTATTACATCCTCACGCACTACTAGGGTCTTTGGCAAGTATTTCCTGAAAATTTCAGTTCACAAAATAGTTAGAGAATTTGTTATAAATGTTTAAAGAAACACAGTATAAAAGTTGATTTCATGGTTTAAACCCTGGGAACATGCATTTAAACAATTTAAATGCCCCATCCTCAATGTGTTAATTTATCTTTAATCACAGCTAACAGGCCCTACTTCACTGCATGGTTGTAAGTTCTGAGATAACATATGAGAAGCAAGTGGTGAGGGATGGTAAAGCCAATGCCATACAGCGACATTGCAGCCCAGGGTTATGTGGGGCCCAACTGCACTCTTTCGATGTGCTGTTGGATGGTGTCAAGATTGTATCCAGAAAGAGATGAGGAAGCTGACCTTAGCCAGCAGAAGGGCCAGTAGAACATGGCAGCCCCTCTTCTCAGCTGCTGGGCTGTGGTTTGCCTGTCGTATCTGGCCTCAGTGTTGTTACTATTTGAAGGAGGCCTCTAAGGAGGGCAACACCTTGTGCTATGTGAATGTGTTTGCCTGCAACCATGGGGACAGCAAGTGACACACACAAATTCTGGATTGTAATTATTTCTTTTCCTTTAGCTTTTCAAGTTTATTTTTAAAAGCTATTTTACATTTAAGTGGAGGGCTTTCCTTTTTGAAATTTCTTTTCATGCCTAAGATTTACTATTAGTTGGAGTATTACTATTATTATTACTTATTAGTGATTCTTAATGAAGTACCAAAATGATGCTCTGTTTAGTTCTATTTATACATAATTCTTGCAAGATGAACATAGAATTTATATTTTTTCTATTTCCATTTGCCATAAAAAAGAAAAATATTGTTTTCCAGTTGACCTTTCTAAATCAACAACTGGAAGAACACACATACATACACTCTAAGTTTTCTAAGGGAAGCTCCCAATGATACCATTGTTTAAATCATCAGATAATTCAAAAGATTAAAACCCTATACCTTTCACTAGTAGCACAGTGTGACCACCCTGATTCTTTCAGCAAATTAACAAAAAACACTCACTGCTTTATTAATACATTATGTCAGTGAGATTTACATGTAAATTTAACTGTGAAAGAAAAGAAATAACAGACTATGCCTGACTAGTCCAGGTGGAATTACTAACCCCAGGAGGAAGAATTCCCTGGGGGCTTTTTCAGAGCTATCTTTGGGCTTTAAATAAATCACTGAGGATGTAGCTGACAACTGAATCCGAACAGATTTCCCACAAACTCTGAGTTCTATTTCTCTGCAGCTCTCAGTGACTTACACCAGCTGTGCTGTTTGTTGCTGGCAGACGCATCAGTACACAGAGCCTCTCACTTCTCTGCTTGTTCTGTTCTCGCGAATAGAGAACTAAATTTACTTAGGAGAGTCTGAAAACCGTGTTGGCGACCTGTAATACTCAAGACTCAAAAATCTGAAAAGTGAAACCCTTTTCTAGAACATAAACGAAGAAAATTTTCAGTTTTGTATAAGATCTAATCTATGACCAGGTATATTCCGAGGGCGTAGAGTCCTGCAAAATATATAAATACATAAATAGTGAAATTTTATAGAACATTTTCGTGCCACACAAAAATAGTGTGTGTGTGTGTATGTGTGTGTGTGTGTGTAGC